TTTCATAACAGAAATGTACTTCTTTACATTAGCCTCCCACAGAAATGTATTGTCTCAAGTTTGCTAATATATAGGTATGCTTATGGATGCTTTTACTGTGTGTTGTTCCTTTAGGTGTGTTTATTTTGATGAATTAATCTTTTGTTGATAGGCTAATTCTTGATTCATTTTTCTTTTTAATTTATTTTTTAAATGTCCTACTCCTCATTTTAGAACAGTCTGAAGCAGCTTCCATTCTTCCTCCCCCTAAATAATTTATCCACAGAAAACTGAAGATTCCATTAACACAGGCTACTCATGAGTCTGGGTAAATTCCATGAACAGAGACAACTAAATGTAGAGTCAAAAGTCAAGTGCAAGCTAAGGAACAAGAAGATGTTTAAGTAGTAGTTCAGTTCTCAAGAGAATCCAATCATTTTGTCCATCACCATACAAACAAACTGCCAACAGGCAACAATGTAAGAGTCATACTGCAGGACTATGGCATAGAACAACCAGAATATAAGAAAATGGGTAGTGAATCTGCTGATCACTGCAGTATCCTCTCCAATGAAACATGGGTAGGGCAAGCACAGAGTGGTGCTTCACCAGAGGGCTCTCACAGGTGCTGCAGGGTGCATTGCTACACCTGCTGTGGGAGGTTTGGCATTTGACAGCTCTTAAAGAAGTTCTTGTCTTTGAACGTGCCCCATCCCTTTTTCACATGTGCATAAGTCACCAGCAGCTCCACTATTCCATGACCCTGCATCCCCCATTCTAATGCCAAGTGCCATGAAAAAGGATTTCCTTTCTGTGTTTCAAAACTTGCCTTGCCTAGTTTCATTTGATGCCTTCTAGTTCTCAGATTGGAAGAGACAGGGAACATCAATCCCTCTTCCTGCTGTCCATGCCTTCTGGTGACTTTATGGTCCAAAGGCACACCAGAAAAATAAAAATACACCCCTTGCTAGGACGCTTTTTGTTACTTGCAGCTACACTATAAGATCTGTACATACAGAGCTGTTTATGGCAGCTGGGAAGGATTTTCACAGCTAAGGATGATGTGTGGTGATCCCAGCTGAACTGAAAGGCAATGGGTCTTGCACACAAATAGTTTATATACCCTCTTTTCCTCCCAGAATCAAAATGCACAAATTCACCCAAGCAGGATTTTAATTTCCCAGAATTATCTTCATGTGTGCATCTAATATAGCTAAATCCTTAGACTTTGCTGCTTTTCTAGCTGAGCAGGTGGTTCAAGGGTTTTGCCACAGCCATTCTCAGTTTGAGATTTAATGACTTATAGCAAGGAGCTGAAGCAAAATGCCACACTGCATAACTGATTTCAACTCAGCTCTGACAGTTTGCACAAGCCAAGGATCCATCCTCAAAGAAGGTGGTTGCTAAATTCATATTTTTCTAAGAGCAGTCACAAAGTATTTATAAGTTCTCAAAGTGCCTGAAAGCAAATGTGAGGGAGCCTCTCTTTTCCTGGACATCTACCCCATGCCAGGGAAAGCTTTTCTTTAGCTTGTAAAAAGCTCAAAGGAAAAAAAAATCACTGCTTTTTGTAAGTGGGAAGGTTGACTATCCCATGCTGTTGTGGGGTGGATGGGAAGAGTTTGGCAGTTAAAATACTATCAAAAAAACAAAATCACCTCACTTTTTTTTTTTTCCTTTTTAAACTTCATTATAGTTTAAATATATGGGTATCTCATAATACATGTATTTTAAACACAGTTTAAATTTTAATAAATAATTTAACATATTGGAGCAATAACAAGATTAGTGCACTGACAATTTGTTACCAGCTGGGTATGGCAGTGAGGTTAAAAACAAACTTGTGTACATTAGCGTGTGCCCCTTTCCACTAGCCTTTCCTAAGGCTCCTGTGTGGGTAACTGGTGACTGGAATAGGAACCTCTACAGAGCTAGGTGTTTTTTGTGATTTTTCCACCACTACAGCTGCTTTAGCTGGTTTTTCTAAGTGTCAGGTTTGGACCCTATGTTTAAGAAAGTAGGTTATCAATGGAAAATAGGATTGTCTTGGAAAATTTTTCCTTAGTCACAAAAAACTGTGTTCTTTTGGATTTTCTGTTCCAACGTCCCAATACGTTCTTCAATGCACAGCTGCCTTCCAGTTTCTTCAAGGCCATGATCAAATACCAAGAATTTGGCATTCACCAATCAAAATCAGAAGAGGAAAATGAGAAGTAGAATGAATCCCTCACGGGGAAAGTGGAGGGGCAGGCACTGATGACAAGACCAGAGGGAATGACATGGCTGGGGAGGTTTGGGCTGGATATTAGGAGAAGGTTTTTCAGCCAGAGCATAATTGGACACTGGAATAGGCACCCTAGGGAACAGGTCACAACACCAAGCCTGACAGAGTTCAAGAAATATTTGGACAATATTTGGGATGTGCTGTGCAGGGCCAGGAGCTGGATTTTGGTGATCTTCATAGGTCCTTTCCAATTTGGGTTATTCTCTTATTCAATGATTCTATGAAATCTTAAAAACACCTTCTCCCCCACCACGCCCTCCTGCAAGACAAGGAGGAAGTTTCTGGCAGCATCTCAGAGAAACCACCCCTGTACCCCCTCCGCTATGGGAACTGTGCCATGCAAACCCAATTCAGCCTCACACCCAGCGTTCCTGTAAACATTTACCCTCCAACAACAGCCCGCAGGCTGCCACTGTGTATTTGCATTATTCCACAAATACTTTTTGTTGTGAATAATGTAAAAATCATTGCCTATTGTGCTTCAGCTTCTTTAGAGCATTCTGAAAATAGAACATACACTGAAGTAGTGCAACATTGTGCTTCAAATCTGGGTTTTGTTTGGTTTTATGTTTATTGTTGTTGGGATTTTTTTCTTGGCGTTTTCTTGGTTTGTTTTTTTTTTTTTCCTGCTATTTTTCATTTTGTTTGAACTATCTAGTGGTGAAGCACCTGTCACTTTATAGCAACCTTTTCCACTGGCATTGCTGCTCTCAGGCACTTGAAATAAAATGTTTTTTTCTCAGCAGAAGGCTGAGTTGTGGTTACTGGCTGGTGTATAGGAATTGTTCCACCTACCTGTGAGAGGCAGCTCTTTCTGTGCCGTGACAGACCCACTGCCTAGGAGCTCGTGACTCTAAGGTGATAGAACATTACATCAACCTGAAAGTGCAGGGCAAGTCCAAATGGGCTGAGTGCAGTACAGTTCAAACTGAGATGTATTTTTCCCTGTGTGCATTGCATCACTTTGTATTATAGAGGCTTCGGCAAATTTTTGCTTTTTATGGTAGGGCATGAATTTACTAATAGGAACAGGAAGGCGGAAAAACATTTTAAGGGATAGTCCTGTGAACTAATAACATTAGAATAACATACATACATATGCAAATCACCCTTTCTGGATGATCTCAAGGTATTATGGTGATTTGCCTCCCACTTTCCCACCCAAGTAATACAAGAGGGGAAAAAACAGCTAACATTCTAATTTTTTCTGAAGAATCCTTGAAAAATATATTTTGTTTGATAAACTAAAAGCAGCTTTCTAACAAGGACAAAAGAGTTAATGACTGAATAGATAGTTTCTTTAAAAAAGAATAATAAAAAGTCAGTTTCCCAATGACAGGTGTTTCAAGAAAAAATTCAGTCTGATTTTCTACTACAGCAATTACTACCAAAAACTGAAAAACAACCAGGGACTGGTAAATACATTAGTGAAAGGTGAATATAGGATTCATTTTCAGAAGGAAAATAAAAGTAAGAGATGGGACTGCTTCACAGAGAAATAAATCCTTAAAAAAAAATGAAAGAACCAGTACCAACAGAGTTACCTCTGAACACATAAAGGTAAAAGAAATGTGGCATCTCTGGCACATCTCATAAAGAATAAATCTCCATACACACTATATATATATATATATATATATATATATATATATACAAATAGAATCCTATCAAACAAAGTATTAGTCTAGATTGTATTAATGAACTTTGCCAACAACTCACACATAAAAACATGTTTGCATTAAGTGTTTCTTGAATTTTTCAAGTAAGAAACAAATCAGTAACAATCAGCCTGTTGATAGGTATTTCATGCAGAAACATAAGACACAAATTTGTTAATAAATTATTCACCAGCTTTTCTCTCAAGTGTATTGAGAGCTGGCAAGATGTCCATGGCTCAGGCTAGTGCTAAATAACTGCACATAAAACAGAGAGGCACTGTCAGGAAACATAACACAGAGATTACTGGTAGGTCTTGACTTAGTCAACATCCTCATTAATGATAGTAAAGTGTAAGTAAACAGAAACATAATGAAATCTGTTGGTAGCTGGAAGGAACTGCATGCCCGTGTCAAAGAAAGTGGAATACTACAGAGGAAGTGAAATGCCTGGGTGTCAAATAAAAACCCACTACATCAAATGAATAAAAAATATTCTATTCTTACTTGAGAAGAACCACAGGCATGTCCCAGATTAATTTTCCATCCATCACCAGGCAGTGCTAGCCAGACAATCACAGTGGTTTCACAAAAGTCAGTGGAAACACCAGTGAAGACTGAAGGAAGCATGGACCTGTTTTCCCCAGCTGATGGGCCGCTACTTAGGGGGAGTGGCAGAGAGAGCAAAAGGTGACTTTAGGGTCCTGCATGGTGAAGTGCATTACTTGTGTTATAGAGAGGTAGCAGCTCTTCTGACATAACCTACAGCACCCCATTGATTATACTATCAGTATTTTTTTTAAAATCTGCAAAATTATTACTCAAAATGTTTAGAGATGAGGGGTTGGATAATACCGAAGGTAATTTCATAAGTCCATAAACCTGAAAATATGTATCTTAAGGTGGTACATTAGTAAATGATTCAAGGAACCTTATTTACTCTGGCTACTTCACAGCCTGTACTGAAAAAAATGTTATTGCTGAGGCCTCAAAGTGCTGTTTTGCCTGCTGTTTTCATTAGAAGCCATTCATGTTTTATTTAGATAGCTTCAATCAATGTGTATCTCTGTTTTATTTTTCAGTTAAACCCTGCCAGCACAATCAACCTCGTCTGCAAATTGTTCTACATTGTCTGTAAGTGAGTGCCTTTCAGTACTGTAAACCTTGTGTAGTTAATTGTTCTTGGAGAACAGGGGAATATTTCTTGATAGCAAGGCAATCATTTATGTGACAATGTGTTGTGTTTATTTTGAATACAAAATTCATATCACACTGTTGGTTTTGGTATTTCTACCTTTCGGTGCTTTACATGTCCTATTAGGGCTAACATAGAGGGAACAACACCTGCTCTGATTCTTTAAAAGTAGCTTGGGGACAAATGGGAATTATGGATCAATTTAACTGGAAAAAACTTGCTCCAGTAAGGGGAGCTGCCTGAATAGGTTAGTAGTTGAAGACAGAACACAAACTGTAGGAGTTAAAGGGTATTCTTGATGTAGATGGAGCTCACTGATGGAGTGCCTAAAAACTGTGCTGGGAGCTGTGCTGTTTCTCATGTTTATAAGAAGTGTAAAAAAGACCAGTTGCTAAAATTAAAAGATCCCATTAAAACAAAATAGTTGGTCAAGCTAGTGAAAACAAGGGCTGACCAAAGATTTACCAAGTTATTTTTGAAGGTGGAAAGGCAGGTGAAACCCACAGGAAACAGATTTAAGGTGATGCACCTTGGAAAAAGCAATCCAAGACTCAAGGAAACAACATGAGCTCTAAGCTGGCTTTAACTTTCAAGAGCAAGACCATGAAAACACCAGCCTAATCCTAGAAAATGCTGGGTAAAATCACAGGAGGTTTAACAGAGCAGACAGAAAACAGAAAATACTGTTAAACCCCAATACAACCCCAAAGTTCATCCCTATTTTGAGCACTGTGTGCTCCTTCACCTGCAAACAAAATATGATGAAAAATTCAGAGGAGAATAACAAAGGGGATGAAAGCTATGGGGCAGCTTCCCCTTGACAAATGAGCAAGGGGTTTAGGACTCTTGCTATGGTCAGACTTGACTTGAGAAGAGATGGTAGTTTCTGGGAGTCAGAGCCACAGAGCTAGATGGAGCCATTCACAGAAGAAACCCATGGAGTGGTGGGCTGCATGCTCACCTGGCTTTCCCAGGGCTGTTTTTATGGGTGCCCCACATCTAGATGGCCTCAAGGGAGAAACAGCATCAGAAAGCCAGAAAGCCAGAAAGCATTACTAACACTGAAAAAAAAAAACAAACCTCCACGTGTAATTGAGAAAGTTCCTGAAATTAAAACGGGTGAAAGAGTACTTGGGGGAAAATACCACAAGTGCTTGTGCTGTTGCTGCAATGTGTGCTTAGGGGGGACAGCTGGAGCACGTGTGTGGTGGCAGGGTGTGTGTGTAAGCTGTTTATATCCTGAACATGAACCATATGCTGCTTTTAAGTCTTCCCCAACCAAGCAGCCGTGTCTCCCTGATCAGACCTTATCTTTAAAATGATGACCGACTTCTGGGACTTCTTTCTGTGCTTGCTTCCTGCTTCTGTGAACCTGAACATGGCTCTTGGGAAGCACTGTGGATTGACAGCTTCAGCAACTACAAAAAATAAGACATGATAATCGCTGTCAGAGAAGGACTGGAAAGAGAAACTGAGAGCTTAATTACGACTCCAAAGGAATGGGTTCTTTGTACAGGCGATGATAAAATGAAGATAGAAGGAAGAAAGTGCAGAGCATAAGAATTACAGTCAGCTTTTGGAGACTATTAGCAGTTCAGTTTATGATCATAACAATACAGCTAGAGATATTTTAAAGGTGCAACCTAAAAGGCCATCAAATTGGGCACCAGGCATTCAGCAAGAGCCACAAAATACAAGTAGCTTCATCACAATAGGAGAGTAATAATGGATTTGTTGTAATCTTAATCCAGATAAGAAATACTGATGCATAAAAATCCCCTTGAGACTTTTTTTTTGGCTGCTAATGGCTATAAGGCATATGCTAGTGATGCTGTTTAGGTTTTGCCTTTTTTTTTTATGTTCTCTGTATTCTTCACACATATATTTGTAGCTCTGTCACCTATTGTAGTGACTAGTTTTCCCAGTACTTTTCCATGGCTTTTTCCCTAAGCAGAAAGACAAAACAAATTCCAAGCTCCAAGCCCCAGGGGATACAAGGCTCCGTGCTATCTTGGTTCTTCCTGGGAACCAAGGCCGAGAACAGCTCTTTGAGATACATTTCATGGACAGCTCTTTGAGATACATTTCATGGACAGAGTACAGCTAGTGCTGAGGGGGCTCCAGAGAAGGGGCTTGACCTGGGGAGGAATTACATCACCATTTGTCCTCCTAACTGGTGCTTTCTATCAATTATGCTAATTTTCTGAAACCTATAAAAATTTACTTACCCCTGGGGGGAGGGGTAGGCTTTTGTGGACATCTTTCCATAACTACTCCTGGAGGTCTCCAAATAAAGATCTCCTTTTATATGATCTCATTACTAAAAGTATTTTGAATTTCATTTCCAGGTTGGGAAGAAGACAACACTAGGAGATCCAGTGTGGTGGGCTTAGAAAGGAAGGAAGGATACTGCATCATCGTGGACACTGCTTGTCCACTTCTTGAAAATGCCAGACTAAGAATGCAGCATAATACAAACATATAACTAACAATGACACAGAAAGCATAATTACAATTACTAAAAAAATTATTGGGAAAACCAATATAAATATAATAAAAGTAAATAAATAAAAATAAATATAAACCAAATACAAACCAATATTCTGCACACCACAAACATAAACTGTGCACCTTCTCAAAACCAAATATAAAACATGATAATAGCATCCAAAACTCCTTGATAGCTGGATTTGAATTGGATCCCCTGAAAACCTGGATGGTATGATAGAAAAACAGAAACTACAGCAGCAGTAACAGTGCCCTCTAGATACTGCTAACACATCTGTAGAAATATATACTCCTGATTAGCATTTATATACTACAGCAAAACACCAAAAACCTGGCTGGCTTTGAGGTGTTGGTGTCTGCCACATAGTGAGATCCAGCTTGATGGATTGGGTTGTCTCTCCTTGCCCAACACTCCTTGTACTATGCATGAAGGTCAGCTAGGTACAGATATGGCTGGAAGAGGTGAAATGCAGGTTTCTGCCTTGGCCATTCCATTCCCTTCAGCTTTTATGTACAGGATCAGCTTTGCAGCCTGCATGGACTATTCTGCTTGAGCCTCTGTTTAGCCCAGGGACTGCAGTACACAGCCAAAGAGGCAATTGGCCAATGGATCCCCACTGGAAGGGCTATATCTTACTGCTCTTCCTGAATAAAACAACAGCTTTATTTCTTTAGGGATGACTCCTCCCTTTCAACACATGTGTTAAAGTAAATACGCTTGCCTCCAAAGGTGTAAATGACACCCAGGAATTTGTAAGAGGGGGATGCTCAAGGTCAGCAAAAGAAAAGCCAGCAGTCTGCAGGTGTTTGGTCACAGAGCCAAGCAACAGAGTCTCCACCTGTGTGTCAGTCCTTGGAAGGACACCAAGGAGCATGCAACCCCACTGTCTTGAGCCCTCCAAACTAGAGGACAGCCACATTAAAGAAAAAAAATAACACCACACCTAGCTCATCAATAAAGTCAGCAGTCCTAGCAGGAATCCTTACTCCAAGACCTTAAATACTGAAAAACATGAGTGTGGACAGCTAGTATTTAACAAAGCCAACAAGGCAATGAGTGGAATTAATTCGAAGTAAATAAAAATACATAAATAAAAGAAAAAACAGTGTGAACCCAAACAAAACCAAACAATAAACCCTACAAAATAAAATAATGAATAAAACCAACAAAAAATCCACCATCAGCAAAAACCAAAACAACATAAAATGCATTCATCACAGTACTGTCATATTTTGACTTGAAAGAGAGAAATGTGGGGCCAGTGATGTTACACTGCCCTTAGACTGATCACAAATTTCAGAGGGAGAGATGATTCCTCCCTTCTTTGCACACAAAAGCTTGCAGGCTTCAACATGTAAGTACACGTAAACTACAAGGAGTTTTATGTGCCCTATTAAAAAATAATATGTCAGTGCTCCAAAAAGCAGAAGGCAGGTAACTTATGACCTAGATTTAAATTTAAGATGAGCATCCTGGACTGACCACCAAGAAGCAAGAATTTTGCTGTTTGCATTATATTTGATGATGTTCTCCACTGCCACATCCAGGACATCCAGTGCCCAGAAAATGTCACAAACAAGCATGTGGCATCAAGTAAGCAACACTGCAAAAACCAGCTGTACTGCAGTTCCCTCCTTGCACAGATCATTTGAACAAGCTGAAAATGAGTAAGATGTACCTTAGGAAAAGGGTGTACTGGATAACACAGGTAACTGGGAGCTCTCAAATTCTAATAATGTTGATGGTATTTAGGGGTTTAGCTGTGTTTCATGAAAGAGCCTAGTGATCCAGGACTATCATCAATTTGCCAGTCAATTTACAGGGGCCTAGCACTAGATACAAATCTCCAAAATATATTAAGGGTCACATCTGAAAAGCAATTCCAATGCTTGAACCTTATTCCCTACCTACTGCTCTAAGCATCTCTTCAGCATAATGATATTCATATTTTCCAAATCACTATGCTGCTCTCATCTTGGCTCACTGAAAAGCTGTTGTGTATACTAATTGGTGTGGTATGTCCTATACATTAGGGTCTCTGGCTTAATTTGGAAATCGTCTTAAAATTCATACTTGAATTATTGATTTTACAGCTTAGACGATGAAATGAGATAGGGTGGATTTTACAGTTATGAATAATACACTCCTGCTCAGCCAAAGCTACCTAGTGATGAGTTCAAGCTTAAAGAGATGCCACCACTACACATTTTCCACGTGCTAATATCAGGCTACCTACAGTCTTCACCATATATTTGTTATTTTTCTTTATAGCCATGCAAAAGTAGGGATTAGTGTGTAAGGGATTTTAGGACACAATTCCCATTGGTCTCTGCTGAGATTATGCACCTGAAAACCTCTTTTGAAATCTGCTCCAGATATTGATTGCTGTCCAATTTCCATTTGGCTGAATAGGTAAGGTCCCTGACCCCCTTTTCTTGTGTGCTGGTTGATAACATTTTATAGTCCATCCTGTTATCCTTCGTGAAAGACATTAGGTACATCTTGATTGCTCCTCTTTCCCTTTCAGGATTTGTCTCAGCAAGACCTTTCCTCTACAGCCCTAATGAGCACAAAACTAATTGGGTACATCTGCAGCCATACTTAGGAACATTCAAGACTACCTGGCACTATCACCCTTTTTGCACTGTTATGGTATCAGTACCTTGGTAATGGACTACTCAGCATTTCTCACAGTCCTCAGGTGCGAGTCTACTGGCCCTTTCTGCATTTCAGTCACCTCTTCCTGTTGGGTGCCTCTGCTGGTGCATTTTGGTGTTTTGTTTGCTTTCTCTTCAGCTGCCAGGTACTGTGCTAACTATCTGAAGATTAGATTGCACATTTGTCTTGGATCATTTTCCTGTGACTCAATCAGAGGAAGCATTAAAAGATTTATAAAATGAATGTGTGAAACAAGGATGTGCCAATCAACTGTACAGTAGGGGGTAAAAAAAGCCATTATTTCAGTGACTGCTGCTATGCATTAAAAGAAAACTGAACTTAATAAAAAATCATTCTACTGATTTCTGAAACGGAGTCCAGGAGGCAAAAAGGTCATGTAGAAGACCAGAAAGATCAATTACATGTCTCTGCACAACCACCCATTTCTTAAAGCTCTGATTTTTGGTATAATCCCTTTGTCTATGTTTTGACCCAGTCTTATTTGATTTATGTTTTTTATTCATTAAATTGTATGCATGAGGTATCCGCTCAAGACTTAACCTTATGCATTTTCACTGAAGGGATTTTTGTTGTATTTGATACAAACCACTCTACCTAGTTTTATTATTTGAAATCTTCAAAATCTGTCTTTGTATTATTGATTTCTTTCTTTTTGAAACCTGACTTACCCCTAGCAATAGCATTTAGTCTTAAAAATAATTAGGATCACTTTACCACTGCAGCATAACCTCAAGTAAGAAAGTTAATTTCCTATTCAGTTTAGAATTTTTCCATTAATACCATGAATACTAAATTTATACTATGGCAGTCAAAGTCCTCTGAGAGTACCTGTAAAACACCAATTTCTCAGCTGTGATCATTTCCTACTTTTGTTTCCCAGATGGCTTTAAATCCTCCCACAGTGTTGCAACAAGAGTGGTATTTTCCCTTTTTTTTCTCTCTCTAATCCTGCTTGCCAGGAGATAGGTGAGATAAGTGTTCACAGATGATATCAGCATTACAGGATAGATGCTTAATAGTACTGCAAAAGCACCGTGCCCAGCAGTCCCCAGGGCCAATACATTTCTCCCAGTAGCTCAAATTTTTCTCCATCCTGACAAGCAATGTGCACTGGAACCTTACCTTGTGGACATGAGTACAATTCTTCCTTCATGGTAACACTGTGAGGGATGCCAGTGGCGGATTTTCCGCTCTTCCTCATGGGTGGGACACGTTGGTTTCTTTTAGTGTCCAAAGGCTCCATGATCCTGGCTGGTGGAGTTATGCTAAGTTGCAGCATTCAACATACGTCTTCAAGTGCCCTATAGATAGATTTAGGTCAGTCCATTGGTTTCCTAAGGAGTATGGGCACCAAATATCTGTTTGTTGTTGGGTTGCTTGTTTCAAAGAAGATCTGACTTTTCCTGAATGCTACAAGAGTAAATGAACAAGCAGCCCAGGAAGTACTGTCGACTTTTTTGGTCCTAAAAATCATTCTGCTTTTTCTCCTTCTCAACCAAGCCATTGCTTTTGCTGTTTTTGGGGGTTTTTCCTGGTTTCCCTGAACTTTTCTGACTTTCACCAGCAGCTGCAACCAACAAACCCCTTTGCTTCCAAATTTGCTGTCAGCTCCAGGGAAACCTCTCTGATGGCACAGCTTATTTACTCTGCTATTTCTGCTTCCTGTTGTTTCAGCAATAACTGTGTGGAAGAGCATTTAATTGCTTTTCCCATTTAGCCTGGCTGAAGCATGCTCAGCACACCCATCTGCTTTAACATGACTTCTACATCAAAGTCCCACCCCCGCTCTACAACAGCCAGTTACATCTTACAGCCTAATTTATCCACACACAAAAAGAGCCTTTATTTGAAAATAGAATCAGAGCTAGCTCTGAGAATTCACAGGTTCAAATTAACGAGGAAAAAAAAAAAGCAACACAAGTTCTTTAAAGTGAAATTCCAGGTACAATTTTTATTTTCTCCCACATTTCCCTATATGTACTAGAATAACCGAGACAGGTCATGCTTTCCAAACAATTGAAATAACTTGGAATCGTAGAGGAAGTCTGTATTGCTAGGCTTCAATTAAGCTAAATTATTAATGATTTTTGTGTCTAATTGCCTTATTATCTTGAGTACAGACAGATTCAAGTCAACAGTTCAGATAGCTTTTACACATGGCCATTTTGCAATCCACGTCTAAGCCACCAGTCAACAAGTCACCACTAGTCTTCCACAGTGGGTTTGCACAGCCTTCTCAGTTGAACGAAATATTACATTTTTCAGGGCAACACCCTATCCTGATCATCTATGCCAGGAAGTCTTTCCATGTCCCTACTGCCTCCGCACGAGGAAGCACTGA